CCCCCCCCCCCCCCCCCCCCCCCCCCCCCCCAAAAAAAAAAAAAAAAAAAAGAGAAGGATGGGTTACAGTTTGACTCTGTCCAAAAACAGTTAAACAAGTATTGGTGGCTAGGCTACCAGCCGTGCCGCCCGGGTCACCCTATTTTCCCGGGCGGCCCGCCCGTGTAAGGACCAGGGAAGGTCCCAGCCAAAAAAAAAAAAAAAAAAAAACCGAAAAAAAACTATGTAATGCGGAAAAATAAACTTGACAACTTTTTATTTTCTTTTTTTTTACAAATCAACTTCGCATTTCATTAGAATCAACTTAACAACTTTTGCCTCAGGGTCACATCGACAGATGGCTAACTGCGGTTGGGATGGGTTTCGCCCGAAGTGCCTTGCTCAGCCTGTAAGGGCCGCAGAGTACATGTAAGGGACACCGGACCCGTTTTCCGGTAATAATTGATGACTTTTTCTCTTAGAAATTCTTTACCAAATTTGAAATGAAATTTCAAATTAGATTTATTTTATTATTATTATTATTTTTTTTTAATTCTTTTCTGCCCGGCCGGGGAAGTGGACCCGGGCCACTCTGGTAGCCTAGATTGGTGGTGTTTGTTTGTTTTTTTCACGAGTTTTTTTACTTTTTTTTCTTCCTTTTTTTTTTTTTTTTTTTTTTTTTAAGTAAGCTATATTATTCTCTCAATGATTTCACCTCACACTACCTACCCACCACTACTCCTAATTTTAGTCGTTCAGCGAAAACCCCGGTAGCAGCCAGAACCGTGTTCACGAGAAATCATGTGGGGGGCCTGCTCCCGACCTGTAGGTTTTTTTAATCTTGAAGGCCCGTGTCCCTTTTTTTTTTTCTTTTTTTTTTTTTGTGATTGCTGTAGGCAGTGTTAAAACTCGGCAGGAGGACAAGCTTGTTGAGATCGATAAGTTGTCGGATAGTGTGTGACGATGGTTGAGCTGTTGGCGGTTGCGCCTCTGTAGAGTTTTAGTCGGAGTGTCTGGGTATGTACTACAGTCTTCCCCTGATTGCAATGTACGGTCAATTTAGCTGAATTTAGACTGAAAGATAGACCAAATTCAGCTAGAATGACCGTACGTTGTATTGGGGGGAAGAGCGTTGGATAGAGTCTTACTGGGATTGTCTGATGTACTARAAAAAAAAAAAAAAAAATTAGGATGTATGCGAGCGACAGCAATCGGTGGAAAACCCGACCAGATGGTAGAAGACACACCAAGAAGCCAAGTCGAGAGAGGAAAAAAAGGAGTGTACACATAAGAGTGGAAAAAAAAAAAGAAAAGCCCCTGAGCGCAACTACCTCCCTCCCCCGAATACAACGCACGGTCATTATAGCTGAATTTATTGGGGCATCTTTCGGTCTAAATACAGCTATAATGACCATGCGTTGTATTCAGGGGATAAGAAGGTAGGGCGCTGCGTTACCTGTACGTTCCGTATGGAAAGGCCCCGTTTGTGTACGTTTATGCAATGTAGGTACGGCGTAAGATATAAAAAAAAAAAAAAAAGATGACGACGGCGAAAATGAGCACCGAAGGCGCCGTAGTCCAAGGAATAACCCTGACGACGTTAGCCGACACGTGCTTCTGCCGGTTCGGCAGTACCGGCCTCCTCAGGGGGTAGCGCCACTGCCGGCTTTTCCTTAGTGCGAACCTTTTTTTTTTTTTTTTTTTTTTAAGTAAAACAGTCAGGAAGTACTAAGCTTGTGTACGTTTCGTATGGAAAGGCCCCGTTTGTGTACATTATGCAACGCAGGTAGGGCGTAAGATACTAGGCTACCAGAGTGGCCCGGGGTCACTTGCCCGGCCGGGCCAAAATAATTAAAAAAAATAAAAATAATAAAATATTTTTGAGTTTCATTTTTTATTTTAAATTTGGTGAAGAATTTCGATGTGACCCTGAGGCAAACGTTGTTCAGTTTATTTTTCTGCATAACATAGTTGTTTTTCAGAATTTTTGGATTTTTTTTTTTGCTGGGACCTTACCTGATCCTTGCACGGGCTGGCCACCCAGGACCCGGGCGGCCCGGCCGATAGCCTAGGTAAGATGTTAAAAAAAAAAAAGATGACGACGACGAAAATGAGCGCCGAAGGCGCCATAGTCCAAGGAATAACCCTGGCGACGTTAGCGGACACGTGCTTCTGCCGGTTGGGCAGTACCGACCTCCTCAGGCGATAGCGCCACTGCCGGCTTTTCCTTAGTGCGAACCTTTTTTTTTTTTTTTTTTAATAAAACAGCCGGGAAGTACTTAGCTTGTGTACGAGCTTTGTGTCAGGAGATCATAGTGGTAGTGAGACCTTCGTCCCCCGAATACAACACACAGTCATTATAGCTGTATTGAGACCCGAAGATGCCCCAAATGCATTCCGCTATAATGACTGAGCGTTGTATTCGCGGGAAAAAGGTAGTAGTAGAAAACTTTACTGGATTCGGGATTTGCGGGGGGGATTTTGGTGGGGGACCACAGCAGGGGATGGGCCTGGCCGAGAGCGCCATGCTCAGCCCGGATTGCTGTGGTGGTGCAAATGTGAGGTACGCCGGACCCG